CCTACACGTAATCGACCCCCGAACCCAATTTTGGCTGTTAAGGCCATTTTTGGCATTTTTTTTAAAAAAATCTTTTTTTTTTGCAATGTTTTGAGTAAAACATTGGTGGCGACTCCGGGAATTCATTTTCAAAATCATTAGTTAGGGATTAATCTGGTGTTTGGGTATTCCCAAATCAATGAGATTTTCAAAAAGGTAGTCTAAACCATCTATGGGCAAGATTAGAATTTTTTGGGTTCCGACAGATGACGACTCCACTGGAGACGCTTAAAGAGGGTTAGGCCCAAATAAATGATGAGACTAGAAAATTAAGAAAAATAGTTTAAATATTTGTTCCCTTTACCTTGTTTGTTTTGCATGTAAATATTTATTCGTTTGCTTTGATATCTTTTGTCTGTTTAAATTTCGCATATGTTTGAAATAACAATTGTACACAAACCCTTGCACACAATAGTTCTCTCTATACCCGAGGGCATGAGCGTGTAAATATACAGAGTGGTTGATGTATGATCAGCGCAAGAACGGCCTTAGAGCCTGCAAGCCTTGTCGAAAATCACACTCGAGGTGATAACCAGTTACTCTAACCCAAAATACTGCGTCAGACCTTAGAGTTTGCCATGTCAACTATGAAAGATTTTATTTACTCAAAATGAAAGAAATTTTTTATTATTATTACATTTGTTGTATATTAATTTTGGGGTAGAAGGGTGTCACAATCTTTGTGAACTCCATTTAATTTGTGTATTTATGTACCTATTGTATAACTAATTGTGCCTAAATGCAGAAATCATTGGCAGTTATTGGTTCTCTGTCCGGCAAAGAATGTTGTTGTTTGGTTTTGTTCTTTCCATCGTAAGCCAAATGTTGAAATCAAAAATTTAATTAATAAAGCACTTTCTTTGACAAGGACTACAGACCATGGATTTGTACGTGACTGTTCACGGGTGTACGTTGTATGAGCATATGTTTGTTGCATTTTTGTTTATTCAAACTGTTTGCTTATTGTTTTTTAATTCCCCTAAGATAAGAGAAAAATAAAAATAAATGGCATTGTAAGATATAAAAAAGGACATGCTTACCATGTATGTTCTTAGGATCACCAAGGGAATTTCCAACAAAGACAAGAAGTCAATGTGACCTTTATAACATCATAAAGTATTATGTAAAGGAACACCGACAGTTCACCTCTCGCAAGGATGAGTCATTGAGTCTTTGTTAGAAATCCCCTTCATGCAAATGGCTTAATTTATCTTGTCCCTCAAAGGTGGCTTTTCAACACTTCATACTCACGAGACCTCAAAGGATAAGAGCCATGAATGCCTTAGAAGAAAGAAATTGTGTGCTCAATGAGGAGCTTAAACAGCTCAAGAAACAAATGGCTAAAATGTTCGAAGCCATGAATAAGATGCAACATGACGACCCTAGTGCTAACAATGGTGGGGATACTTCTAAGGACCATCTTAACACCTTAGAGGAAAGGTTGAGAGCTATAGAAGGTCACAACTTTGACATCAAAGAGGTTGTGGAGATGTTCTTGGTACAAGATATAGTTCCCTTCCTAGTTTAAAATTCTGGATTTTCAAAAGTATGTTAAGGCCAATTGTTCGAAAGAGCATCTAACAATGTATTGTCGGAAGATGGCCACCCACATCAACAACGAAAAGCTCTTAATACATTGTTTTTAGGAGAGCTTGTCATACTTCGCCCTCAATTGGTATATACATTACACAGAGGAAAAGTCTAGAAATGGAAGCAACTCGTTGACGTTTTCCTCAAGCAATATAAGTATAACATCGACTTGATTCCTGACAAGTCTGATCTATAGAGGCTAAACAAGAAAATTGATAAGCCTTTCAAAGCTTACACGCAAAGGAGGAGGGAGTTGGCCACACAAGTGGAACCCCCCTTATTTGATAAGGAAACGGTTATGATGTTTATCAACTCCTTGAGTAGGCCCTATTATGACAAGATGATAGGGAACACCTCAATCCTTCTTGCTGACATAGTCACTATAGGTGAGAGGGTTGAGCAAGGTCTAAAGAGCGGGAGGATAGGGAAGGCCCTGACGAGCTACGACCCTAAGAAAGTCTATGGAAAGAAGAAGGAAGAAGGGGTCAATGCCATGACCTTTTCTCCAAAGATCCGAGTTGCACCACAAGCAAAACCCAAAAATGGCAAGGCAGTAAACAAAATCCCCACCACCTATGCAGAGTTGCTACCCCAACTCCTGGAAGCTTCAATGTTGGTCTGACTTCCTTCAACGAAGAGGATGAACCCTTCTTACCCACCATGGTACAAACCTGAGGAAAGGTGCAACTACCACTCTACCTTTCTAGGACACTTGATGGAACAATGCCAGGCCCTACAATTCTGCGTCCAAGGGCTTATATACGCTGGATGGTTAAAATTTGACACCAACACACCTAGCATTGACACGCACCTGCCGCACAAGCATGATGAGAAGTGACCTTGGAGTAGGAGGTTGAAAGGCTGCTAGAGCAGTGGTTCCATTAGGATTTGTTTTCTTTAATTGTTATTTATTCTCATTCATGACTCTCGCTCGAAGTTATGGGTTTCCACAATAAAAGGGCTTGTAAAGTTTTTCTTTTAATCAATAATAAACAAATTATTCTTGTAAAATTCCCCTATTTTTATTCTTTTCTCGCTCTTTTCAAGAACCTATAAAAAAGAAGCAAACATGACTGACGAGAATGAAATTAAGCAAAATTCGAACGTCCATAATGCATCACTCAAACTCTCTCTCCTTAGATATGCAAAGATCACTAGACTAGAAGACCCAGGTAATCCAACCTCATCAAGAGAAAATCGAAAATTAATTGAGGGCAAGGGAAGGATAAGAAAGAAGCCCTCATTGGCACAAAAAAAAAATCAAAAGCCAACTGGATTACGTCCTCAAGGAATATGTCGACGCTTTCACTTGGTCATATCATGATGTGTTGGATTAGACCCCGAAATCATTGAACATAAACTACCCATAAAAGAGGAGACTCATTCTATAAAACAGAAATTGTAAGAGTCAAATCCGAGTGCTCCCTCATGATAAAAGAAGAAGTGCAAAAATGGTTAGATGTGGGTTCTTGGTAGTCTCCCATTATCCTAAATGGTTCACAAACATAGTGCTGGTAATAAAGAAAAATGGGAAGTATGAATCTGTGTAGACTATTGAGACTTAAATCGAGCTAGTCCTAAGGATGATTTTCCACTACCGCACATGGATATGCTCATGGATAATACCACCACGCACACCATCTTCTCGTTTATGCATGGATATTCAGGATACAACCAAATTAGAATAGCTGTCAAAGATCGCGATAAAACTTCTTTCACAACACCATAGGGCGTGAAGACTTGCCAAAAAGATAACTAAGATTCAACAAAGGCGTCTTGGTTAAAAAAAAAATCAATCTCGTTAGGATACGTCCTAAGCAAAATTAGGCCTAATATAAAAAGGTAAGTGATAAACACCCAGATTGAAAATCGAAAGGTGATTTGGATACCCTATCAAAGAACCTAAAGCCCTCCAAGGAATCGATCTAGAACAAAGTATGCAATTTGGGACAACTAGGAGAATGATTACTTTTGTTCTTTGAGGGATATGTTTGCTTAAGCCCAAACACTAGCCTATCTCAGCCATCCATTCTTTCCAAATTCCTTTCTGAAATCCATTTCTTTAAAGCTTTTGATTCTAATGAAGACATCCTTTCTTTTCATTTCTCTTGACCCTGTTAAAATGATGTGTTTTTATTAAAGGTTGAATGAAAATCAAACAAGTGTGAATAAAAAAAAATAAACAAACAAATAATTTGTGTGAACTCCTGATAGGCAGAAATGATATAAAACGGACTATGACGCTCGAAGCCATCTAAAAAAAAGAAGAAAAAAAAGTAAAAAAAAAATTTCTCCACATGATTGATGAAGGAGAAGTGGAAAGTCATCTTCCAAAGACGACAGATAACGAAATGTATATCCGAGAGTGCACATTGTATACGCATGACATATATATCACACATTTAAGAAAACTTTTTCTATATCTAAGAGCGAACAGAAATTTAAATATTCCAGCAAAGCATGCATTTATTATCTGTACAACAAACAAGAAAAAGATAGAACAAGTCAGAGAACGACAAATAGAGGAAAAAGGCAAAGCTTCTACACAAAGAAAAGCCAAAGCTAAGAATAAAAATAAGGTTAGAACTTAGGAAACATTCAGCCCGGGGATTTAACTAACAAGCAAGGGGCAGGTATTTCCCATAACAACATTCTCATCAAACAACCAAACTCGACAAGACCGAGACCCACAAGGAATACAAGCCAATCATCCATCCATTCCTCAATAAAGATGCCTGTGAGAAATATTTAAAATTTATAGATAATTTGTTAAATAAAAAATGTTAAATTAAAAAACAAATGTTACTTAAAAAATAATTAACTAATCCAAATTTTTACACATGTTGTAAAATAAAGAAATTCAAAATACGATTAATTTTTTTTGGATTCTTGACTCGGAGAAGTGGGGAGGTTAGTTGGCTTAAGTTTTCCTAATCAATGTTTTTTTTAAATATAAAAGAATAATGGAGATGTTGGCCATTTTTACTCTGCAATTTTGAACTGCTACTTTTGGTGGCCAATGTATGAATGTAAAACCTCAAGTGTGGAGAATTCATTTTTATTTGGAACTTGGAAGGCAATGAAACTTGCACTAAGTGAGGTTGATTTAACATCTATAGTTTTAACTTCTTTGGCTTTTAAGAAACTTTGCTAACATAAATATATTACGAAGTATATAAGAGTAAAATAGATTATTTTCCTGAAACATTAAGAGGCATAAAAATTTAATTAAATTTTGGAAGAAAAAAAGTAAACATCTTGATGACTAGACAATCTTCTGCAACAATTGGAAACTGTTTAAATTTCTGTTTTGTTTCTAAAAGTAGGCTCCTGATTTAAATTTTGTGGGTATGGATTTTGTAGTTGTTGAGTTTAACATGGGTTTCAAAGGGTATCTCAAACTCTCGTAGCAGCAAATTTAACAATAAAGCAATGTTATTTTGTTACTTTGATGTGCTAATTAATCTCTATGTTCCTTTGTGAAGGTGCAATTGAACTTTCGATATGAGCATATTATTATGGATGTGAAATTGCATCATATGATATCCATACAACCTGATGTGATTTGTATGGTCAGGTAAGCCACTTGTATGCATTTATATGGCAGATTATATGCTTCCAAGTTTTGCAATCTCTTATGACTGAACTTTTCTATTCTCATTTTGGGTGAATACTTTTGACAGGGAAGTAACTATTCTGAAAGACTGATGTTGATTTACAATGGTCTCCACTATGATGCATTAGTGGTGAGTAATTTTATATACTATAAATTATTAATCTTCAATTCCTTCTTTTTCATGCAATGTTTTAATAATGTTTTTTATTTTCAACAAATAATATTTAACTATAAGTAAATAAAAAATTATGTTATGTGGTTTGACAGAAAATGTGAGAAAACTTAAAAAAGAAAAACAAAAAAGCAATTTTATGGCGGTTTAAAACCGCCAGAAATGTTAAGTCAAGCAAAAATTTAGGTGAATTTTGTAAAACAAGTAAACAAAAATTCATTTTCTGGCGGTTTGTTTGAAACCGCCACAAAGAGATTGAATTTTCTGGCGCCCAGCACCATTCCAAAATATCCGCCACAATTTTTGGCAATCGTAGATCTGATGGTTATTAATGACGCTAGTAATGCGATTTGTGGCGGTTTTTATCAGCCAGAAACTACCAAAATAAGCGCCACAAATCACACATTTTTTTTAGTGACTATTATAATTATATTATATTAGTTGTTAAAAATAAATTATATTCTTTTTTAAAAAAGTACTTATATATTCAAATTTAAAGTAAAAAGAGGTATTACTTAAGCAATAAAATTTGCACTTTCAATAATAATAATAATAAGATAATTGTTAATTAATTAATAAAATATAAACTTGCAAATAATAAAGTTTATAAATTTACAAATCCATAACAATGATATTATCCAAAACATTTTTTAACTGCCAAAGGGGGAAAGGGGTTAAGATATTAAATGAGATTATTAAAGTCTAAGTGCTTGTTTGGATGCACAGTGACACAACCATCAATGCATGTTTTTAGGAACATATTGTAGAAAAGCTTCAAGGCCAACGTAAATTTCCAATGCAATATATGTTGTATCTAACACTATAAATTATCTTGTTAAATGGTGAGTAAAATACAGAGTATTCAACATTAGAAATAGAAAATTGTTTTACCTCTAGTTTATCATATGTGAAAAAAGAAAAATGAGAAGATGCTTGGTTTAAATTTATAAACCAAATTTCAGGAGAAAAAAAAATATATTAACAATAAAAGCTTACTTATAACTCTAGTTTTTTTTATAAATATTTTGTAATTATTCTAGTGATTTTGTTTTTGTAACTAATATATAACAATTTTTTATTTTAAAATATCTTAGTTATTTTGGTCAGTTTTTTTTGTAATTGAAACATTTCAAATTTAAATTTTAAGATAATTTAATAAATTAAAAAAAAAGGTTTATACGGTAAAGGTTTAGTAGATTTTTTTTTTTATGTTAGAACTATCTTCTGATAAAAATGATTTATAAATTTTTCATTCATCTAGTGATATTTTTTAGCAACAACCAAATGTAAAAGATTTAATTTAAAAATTATAAATAATTTGATAACTAAAAAATGTTTTATGAATATTATAATTATTATGGTAATTTTTTTAACTATATTATTTCAAATCTAATTTTTTTATATAATTTGATAAATTAATAAAAAAAAATTTTAAATTAAAGGTTTAGAAATTTAAGTTTAAGGGTTTATTAGATTTTTTATATATTAGAATTATCTTCTTTAAAAAAGGAATTAAAAATTCATTATTATTCTAGTAATTTTATTTTTTTAACTGACATATAACAAATTTTTTATTTAAAAATATCGTAATAAATTTGGTGAAAGCTGAAATATTTAAAATTTATAGATAATTTGTTAAATAAAAAAAGGTTAAAATTTTAAAACAAATGCTACTTGAAAAATAATTAATTAATCCAAATTTTTACACATGGTGGAAAATAAAGAAATTCACAATACAGTTTATTTTTTTATTTATCACAGATATCTTTAAATTAAAATTTAATATTTTTTTATGGCAAGTTTAACAAAAATATTTTAGGAATTGTTTTATCTTCTTATCAAATATAATTTTGTTTATTATCTAAAATATCAATAATTTCAAAATAATTGTAAAGTTGTCGATTTATATATAGTCATTCATTAGGTCTTTATTCATCATTCAATTATGTGTTCTGACTCTAATTAGGACTATCTTAAGTTTCTATATAGAGCACATTTTGTCATCAAACCTATTTCCAAAAACGTCTCTCAAAAGAATGGCAACAAGAAACAAAGGTAATCGGTCAACAATCAAATCAACTTGGATACAACCAATTGCTCAGAAGGAGATGAAGAAAACAACAAAACGGTCACAAGAAATCGTTTATATTTCTTCTAGGTTCTTTCATTTAAAACCCATTATTTAATTTCATTATTTTATGTGATTTTTAATTAAATTCTCTAATACAAAAAATGACAGAGAAAAATACTATAATATCTCAGATGTGACACTCTATGGCAAGAAGAAAACAATGTTTGTGAAGAGTGTGGATGCTTCTGAATATACCAAGACCGGTGAGAAGGTGTTTGAACTTTTAAATAGTTTTGTTGAGGAAATTGGAGAGAAAAATGTTGTTCAAGTAGTAACAGATAATGGAAGCAATTATGTTATGGCGGGTAAGAATCAATTATATTCTAATTTTATACTCATACGATTATAAGATATAAATTCTAATTTTAATTATTTTGTTATTGTGTTTTTAGGCAAAATTTTACAAACTGTGAGACCACATTTATTTTGGACTCCATGTGCTGCTCATTGTCTTGATTTGATGCTAGAAGATATTGGAAAGATCCCTAAAGTCAAAAGGGTAATACAAAGAGGCATCAAGCTCGTGGGTTACATTTATAATCATACCTTGACCCTAAACACCATGAGGAAGTATACAAATAAGGTTGAATTGGTGAGGCATGGAGTTACAAGATTTGCTACCACCTTCCTTACTTTGCAACGATTGCATAAGTTAAAGGCAAATCTTAGAAGGATGTTTACTTCCGACGAATGGTTGCAATCAAAAGGAGCCAAAGAACCTAAGGGGAAGAAAGCAACGGAGATTGTTCTTATGCCTACATTTTGGAGTGATGTTGTTTATGCTTTAAAGGCTATGGGGCCTATTGTACGTGTGTTGAGGTTGGTAGATAATGAAAAAAAACCGGCAATGGGTTACATTTATGAAGCAATGGAGAGGGCTAAGGAGGCAATTCAAAATTCTTTTAATCATAATGAAGAAAAATATAAGGATATATTTGCAATTGTTGATAGAAGATGGGATTGTCAACTCCATCATCCGTTGCATGCAGCAGGATATTATCTAAATCCTGAGTTTTATTACAAAAATTCAACAAGAATGGATGCTGATGATGAAGTGGTGGATGGCCTTTTCAAATGTATTGATAGGCTTTGTGAAAATAATGACATTGTAGACAATGTTCACAATCAATTGGCAATATATAAAAGGGCAGGAGGAAGATTTGACATTCCTGCAGCAGTTAGAGCAAGGGTTAAAATGGCTCCTGGTAAGTGAGACTTTTCTTAAGCTTCAACTTCACTTACAAATTTTATAGTTATTTGATAATTTATTTATATAATAATATTTGCATTTATAGCTGAGTGGTGGAAGATGTATGGAGGACATACACCACATTTGCAAATTGTTGCCATTAAGGTACTAAGCTTGACGTGTAGCTCATCTGGTTGTGAGCGTAATTGGAGTACCTTTGAGCATGTAAGTTAATGAATTAGTGGATTTAAATTTGAGTTTACTATTGAAAATGGAAAATTAACTAACATCATGTTGTTAAATTATTATAGATTCACTCAAAGAAGAGAAGTAAGCTTGAGCACCAAAAGCTTCAAGACTTGGTTTTTATTAAATATAATCAAGCTCTTCAAGAACGCTTTGAGTGTCAAGATCCAATTGATCCAATTGCTTTGAATGAAGTTGATGATAACAATGAATGGATGTTGGGAGAAGAAAATGATGAGGATGAATTTGAAGATGACTTGGTGTTTGATGATGATGTTTTGACTTGGAGAGATGTTGCCCAAGCAAGTGGTGCCGGTGAACCTTTGAAATACACTAGGAGACAAACACAAGTGAACAAGACATCAACAATTGCATCTACATCCAAGAAAGATAAAGGAAAAAAAGTGATGGAAGTACTAGAAGACGAGGATGATGATGTAGAGGAAGAAGAAGAATATAATTCTAATGCTAGTGGGAGTGATGAATTTGAGGGAGAGGAAGACTTTAATCTTGATGAGGAAGAAGATTAAACTATAATGTTTAATTTTTTACTTACTTAGAGCTTTAACACTTTGTTTTGGAGACATTTTATATTATGTATTGTTTGAGTACTATGAACTTTTAATTATTAAAAATGTTTAATGCATGAATTTAGAGTTATTTTTTTGTTTTTTTTAGCTTTTATATATATATTATTAATTATTTAATATATATAAATTAATATTTAAATAGCGGTTATCCCGCTCCGCGTCATACCGCTATCCCAGTTTTGGGGTCGGCCGCTCCGCGCCGCTATCCGGGATTGACTACTATGGTATAATTATATACTTTCCTATTTCCCCTTTTGTGTTAGTTTCCTTATCTCCCTTAATAGGATTAGCCATATAGCCTCTATAGAGGGAATTAGATATTGTATTAAAAACACACAGATACAATTCAATTTTTTCTATCTTCCCTCTATTTTCATGTTGGTATTAAAGTTCCCGATCCAGGGAGCTCTACTTCCACATTCAAATCATTGCCACCTTAATTGCAGTTCCTTTTATGCCAGCCTTAACTTTGTTGTGCCCAGGACAATTCTGTTTGTTGCTGCTGCATTGCTACTAGCTGTTGGAAATTTTTTCCAGTGAAACCACCATCAGAGGAAGCCCATCCACCAATATACTAAGGGCCAAAATCTAGGTCCATCTGAAATGGCATGTGCTTGCAAGAGTCATGTCTTTGTCAGTTTGTTTTTTCGGTGTGTGAAACCATCATACCACCTTTCCAGGTTGGATGAAACATAGTGGAAAGAAATAGGGTAGATAGAGATAAGGTGCAGCTGGAGCACTACCCTTGTTTGGATGATCACAGAAATGAGGAGAGAGGGAAAAGAATGATTGTTGGATCCACTCAAACAATTCTCTATATCTTAACCATGACTTTTTTGTACATAGGATAAAGCAGACATACTTGAACACCATCTTGTCTACTGATTTTTTTGTTCTGTGTTTTATTTTTCATCCTTTATTTCATTCTTCTTCTGTGCACAACCACTGCCTAACCTCCTCCTCACTGGTTCACTTGACAAGATCATTCCCCTATGTAGGTTCAACAACCTTTGTCATGGAAGGAACACTACACAACAGTTTCCTCTTTTTGTTCCTTCTTTCATTTTGCTTATGCATCTTGCTTTTGTCTCTCATATTCCCCAATCCCCATGATAAAATCCTTCCCAAATCACCTCACCAAGTCTTTGAAAATTTGCATGGTTAGTTGCTACTTGCGTGCACCTAGAAAAATACCCAAATGATGTAATTTTGGAATTAATGTCTCTAGCATGGTTATCTCGAGGACAATAATCTGACTATCATATCCATTGTGGGCATTACTGATGCCACCCTATTTTGTGTGGTTGGCAAAGGTTCCTCAGAATTTGGGTGATGGGAGGTAAAAGTGGCATGAAGTTGGGGAGATAATTTTTTTAATAAAAATATAAAAAAAATCCCAGTGTTGGTGTTGTGGTTGGCTCACATGTTCATCATCAAAATATTCATAAAAATAATTATTTTATAAAAAATATTTTTAAGCATAAGATAGAATAAGATTTTATAAGTGTTGAAAAATATTGTTTTCTCAATTAAATAAGAAATAATTTTTATGAGGTTAAAGATGTTGATCTTGATACACAAATTATGTATTTCATTCTACTTTATTTTCAACTTATCCAAATAAGCGAAAAGAAAATTCTGATTCCTTCTTTATTTCTATTCATTCCAATTACATATCTTGTTTTTTTCCTCCCTATTTTTACCCATTTTCCAAACAAAATTTTAGGGCTTGTGTTTTTCAGTGTTTCCAATGATATAGTGGTTGCAGCTAGGACTTTGCCAATGATAGTTGAATTGAAGTGATAAGCTAGTGAGAGTAAATAATGGTCAGTAGTGCATTGTGCCTATGGTTCAAATGCAACATGAGTCTAATGGAATGTATTTTTTCCCCTTTGTCATAATTTTTATGACTTTGATGTTAATGTATCTGAATTCTTTGCAACATTTCTTTTTTACACTGAAATTATATTTCTTCTTGCATGTTGTATATTAATAATGGGGTAGAGGGTGTCACATTCACTTTGACTGACCACTCTTGAAGGAATTTGATGTGAATTAGTTGAACAAATTTGTTGGTTATTATCAATAACTATTGGAAGTCCTGATAGAGAAAGTGTGAACTTCAATTTAGGATAATTGTCCACTATCATCCTGGCTAATCTATTGAAAGTGACTATTAATGGATCCATCCCACTAGCTTATTCCACATCCTTATCAATCCTACTTTCAACAACTTTTATGGGTGATGACGCATCCAAGATATTATAGTATTTTTCTCTGTCATTTTTTGGCTGAGATATTTGATGAGCACTTGTACTGTAATTGTAAAAACAATATTAGAGAATTTAATTAAAATCACATAAAATAATGAAATTAAATAATGAGTTTTAAATGAAAGAACCTAGAAGAAATATAAACGATTTCTTGTAACCATTTTGTTGTTTTCTTCATCTCCTTCCAAGCAATTGGTTGTATCCTAGTTGATTTTTTTGTTGATCGATTACCTTTGTTTCTTGTTGTCATTCTTTTGTGAGACATTTTTGGAAAGAGGTTTGATGAAAAAATGTGCTCTATATAGAAACTTAAGATAGTCCTAATTAGAGTCAAAACACATAATTGAATGATGAATAAAGACGCAGACGAAGACTTCCATTAAAGCATATGAAGAATCAAGTCTCAAAGGACAAATCAAGGCATCGTTGTGACACCCTCTACCTCGACATATATATGAAACATAGTCTTGGTTTATATAAAATCTTTATAATTAAAACAATAAATCCATTAACAAAATAGTAAAGGATTCACATTCGTATACTTCAAATATAGTCAAATGCGGAATTTATAGCAAAATGAATCTTTTCCAAAACAGAATAACAATAAGGAATCCTAAACTAGATCTAGTTATGCCCCGATGTCACATCCTATCAGAGCATGCCCAACTGAAGCCTAAGCCTCACCACCAACATCCTCATGCTGATGATCACCTGCAACACAATTTAAACACATACAAATAACACTAAGAGAGTGAGAAACATCTCACTCAGGTTCAAGTGCAGAAATAAAGGTTAGATAGCACACACACACAACAAACATGAGTCACAAGTACAAACCACATGTAAACATTACGCATACACAAACAATATCACTTGCACACTCATTTATCATGTAATGATGTCATGGACTCGACTCATAAATGCATGCATGTGGCGCCATACGGAAGTTTCACATTTTTCATCACTGGTGACCCAAGGTACACCTATAATAGCTTGTTACATCACTATTATGCGGCCTAAGCAACACACCTAGCATAAGTCATTTCATCACATAGCCTGTTACATCATTGGTATGCGGCCTAAGCTACACACCTAGTATGAGTCATTTCATCACATAGCCTGTTACATCACTGGTATGTGGCCTAAGCAACACACTTGGCATAAGTCATTTCATCACATTGGATGTTACATCACTGGTATGCGGCCTAAGCAGCACACCTGACATAAGTCATTTCATCACATTGCCTGTTACATCACTGGTATGCGGCCTAAGCAACAGACTTGGCATAAGTCATTTCATCACGTTGCCTAATACATCACTGGTATGCGACCTAAGCAGCACACCTGGCATAAGTCATTTCATCACATTGCCTGTTACATCACTGGTATGTGGCCTATGCAGCACACCTGACATAAGTCATTTCATCATATAGCTTGTTACATCACTGGTATGCGGCCTAAGCGGCACACCTGGAATAAGTCATATATGCATATGATGCATGTCTCACATTCACAATTACATTGACTCAACACTTCACATTTCACTTTACATTTCACATCTCATCATATCTCATGTCACATTATGTCACAATGTCATATCACAGATCATATGTTCACCTTTCACATTGTCACATGATATTCCCATAGTCTCATAAAGAAACTTCTCGTCATCATATACATCAAAATAATACATAAATCATATCAAGAACTTATCTATAACATGAAGCTATCATCAACATTACATATAATGCCTCAAATCATCCATAGATCATATTACTAATTTTACTTCAAAGGGTTTCCCAAAAGGACTCACAGAGCACTCTAATTCATATCAAAACTTATCTGTTTTCAAAATTAATCACATACTCATACATCACATCCAACAAGGAACACAATAGAACAATCAGAAGGAAAAACAGAAAACATTCATATTTTTCCCGTTTTCTCATAGGGTTTCCCGTAGGAACCCACATAGCACTCTAATTCATATAAAAACATATTCATTTTCAAAATTAACCACATAATCATGCATCACATCCAACAAGGAACACAACAAAGCAATCAAAAGGCAAAATAGAAATATTCATACTTTGCATGTTCCTAGAAGCATGCATCAGGCAAGGGATTGGGGCCCAATTCGACTACCCAACAATTATTCTCACACCCCGACCGAGGTTTATCACTCCCCCCTTACCTGGATGAGCAGAAGACGAATGGTCTTGGTGTGATCTAAGATCGTTCATGAGTACTCTTCCTTAGAGCTCTTTGTTTCTCTTCTTTTTTTTCCCTAACCCTTCAGAACGCAAATGAGGCAGATGGGGCTAACGCTACTTGACTCCTTTCTTAAAATTAATCCATTGGGCTGGCTCAACCTTACCCATTTTCCTTCTTTTCTAACTCACTTCTCTTTTTCTTCAAAATAATTAAATAAAATAAATACATGTATATTATAAAATATTTTCCCCCTATAATAATAATATATTTTTGACCCAAAATATAATAATATAATTTCAATAACAACCTATCATATAAAATCAACCTTCTCTTAAAACATATAAATAAAAATACTTATTTAATATGTACAAAATAATTGTCCAAATCAATAATTATTTAAAACGTATAAAATAATATTTCTCTATAATTATTAAAATAATTATGACCAAATACCATATAATAATAATAATAATAATAATCTTTTTGAAAACTGGGTGTTACAATACTTCCTCCCTTTTAAGAAATTTGTCCTCGAATTTCTGAAATGAAAAGGTTCGACTATGACTCCTTCATTAAACTCAAGATTCTTCCTAAACTTCCT